CTGCAATGTAAAAATGTTAAATTTTAACACTATTGCTTCAATAGTGCACTAGTCATTTCTTATATATTTTTTTATATAAAAAATTAAGTGAAAATGTCATTTGTGAGTCTCATTATAAAAGAGAGAGAAAGAGATAAGACATCTTGTCAAAATTTAGCGTTTTGTTTATTTTGGCTTGTTTTGGCAACGTGATTAAAAGCCGCGTTTGGGCGTTTGATGAAAATGCTGAACGTGGCTTTTTTGTTCGAAAACTCATTTGGGAAGCTGGATAAATGCAGGAGGGGGTCTTTACGAATATACCCTCCATTCACTTTATGTGACAGTGTGACAGTGTACAAGGAGCTAGAGCATGTGAAATTCTGTAATTTGCAAATGAGAAGAGGGTATTTTGGTCATTTTACACTATGCCATGATGATATGACAACATAAAAAATTATTAACTAAAAAAGTCAAAAAGTTACTTTTTACCAACTTCCCAAATCATTTGTCTAAAAAAGCCAAAAGCTTGGTTAAAAGCCAAAAAATCACTTTTTACCATCTTCCCAAAACAACCCTTTGTATCAAATTTGCCACAAAATTTTACAATGTTATAATTTGACCATTCTTTTGGCATGTCATTGGAGCTGCTTGTTAGGTTTAAATTGCTATAATTTAGGAATCTCAATTATGTGCATATTTTAACACATTTTTAACTCGTATATTGAACATTTTTATATCTATTAAGTCATATTATTTTATTTAAGTTAAATCATTTCTTTAACACATCATTTCAAATCCAACTCATACTCAATTCATATTTCATAAAAAGTTAAAAAGTACACTTATTTAGATCATTCCAAACCACCCCTAGGTGAGTGTTTGAGTTTGACTTTTAATTTTTTGACATTTTTAGTGTTTCTTTTTTAAAAAATATTTAATATGCTTGAAAATTTGCTAAAAAAATTATTTCTTGTGAGTGAAAAAAATTGATGTGATATTTAACTTTTTTTAATTTATGACAAATAACTTAGTATTTATTTTTTTATTTTTTATTTTTTATTTATTTATTTTTTAAAGTATGGAAAATTGTCTTTTTTAGAAATCTCGCATATCAGTCCCTTTCATTATGGATTGGAAAAATGTTAAATTTACTAACAAGTTTTATAATTTTTTTTAGCATCTTCCCATGATATCAATGTTATAAATTTTCCTTTCTCGTTACCAAAACAGGAAAGTTGCAACCTTTGTTGTTGGGGGGGGAACTCACACCACATTTATCATTTATCAAATAGAAAATGTGTTGGCTATGTATTTTATACGGGCCAATCATAGTTCGACGCGTGACAAAATAAGGGTAATATAGGAAGACAATTCAAACCTTCGATCGTGATCGTACACGTGGCAGTTAGTATTGGTTCTTACAAGATTTGCGTAGTACTGAATCAGCAAAGAGATGTAAAGTGACGTAACCTTAACGGTTACTCATACATTTAAATTCAAAATTAGGAGGAAAGCCTAACTGCATCTGACATAGTGGAGCTAACTGCAAGGAAGTATGATCAGTGATCATGGAGGGATGGTTCGACGGTTAGAAGTCCATTTCGACGGTTAGAAGTCCATTTCGACGGTTGTCATTAAGAAGTATAAAGAGCAGAGAAGGCCTCAGAGAAACCCCCAGACTCAGATCTAAAGAAACTAGTTTTTATCTACTTTATTTCCTTTCTTGTTTTACATTTCCTTTTCTTTGTATTTCTGTACTTTAAAATTCATGCACTGCACTTCGTTCATAGGAGTGGTTTCAAGTAGATTGTTGCTGTAAACCTTTACGAGGCTGAATTGGATTATTGTAAGTCTTTTATTTTATTTAATGAAATACTGTAATTATTCTTCATTTAATTATTGTCAGTTTATTCCTTCTAAGCAAAATCACTAGTAAAAGTCCTCTTCATTGGGGCTGAAAGAACTAAAACACAATCGTCTGATAATTGGTTGGCAATTAAATTTCTGTAAGGACTGATTGATTCTTACTGGCACGCTCAAAAATACTGTAATAACCTTCAAAAACTAAAAAATCAACAAAATGACTATTATGTCCATTGGGTAATGTCCTTTTAACCTATCACATGATATTGTAACATTGTTAATTTTTTATTTAACAAATTTTTTGTTTATATATTATTATTTAATGGCATAAAACGGTCCCCAACCCAACCTCCGTTTGGGAAGTGGGTTGGCTTTTTGGCTTTTTGGTTTTTTTGGCTATTTTAGCCCTGGGTTTAAAAGCTTGGTTTGGGAAGGGCTTTTTGGCTTTTTGACTTTTTTGAGTTTTTTTGTGAGAGAAGAATGTAATGATTATGGGTTGGATGTCATGATATTGTAACATTGTTAATTTTTTATTTAACAAATTTTTTGTTTATATATTATTATTTAATGGCATAAAACGGTCCCCAACCCAACAAAGTTATTGAATGATATTTGTGTGTGTGGGTGTTGGATATGTGGCATAAAATATAAAGAAAAAACAATTTTAGGGACAATATAAATGTGGCTGGACTAAAGTAGATTTCATAGCATAAAAAGTGCTATGCATCATCAATGTGGTGAGTTTAAAGAGGTTGCTGTAAAATTTTAATAGAAATTTAAATTTCAGATTTCAAGTTAACTCTAAAGAAAAGAATAATAATAACAAAAGTGTACTTGAGACAATTAATGGAATTAATTCAAGCAATATTTTTTTTGGGTGATTATGGTCTTTCACTTTAAAATCCTATTCTTATTGTTCTATATGAGAAACTTAACAAAATATTTATAAAATTTCAATTCTATATTTGTCTATTATAAGTAAATAAACTTACATGTGAACGTACAAAATACATTATACCTACTGATAAAAAGTTTCTTATAATTGTATAAAGTGTGTGTTTGGGAAATAGGTTTTTTTAGTTGTAGGATATTATTGAAGAAATTTTTTTTTATGTTAGGGAAAATAGTTGGATTTTTTTGTGGTTGGATGTGATGTTTGTGAGAGAAAAAATTAAATGATTATAAGGTTTGATGTGATATTTTGTTTGAATTTGTTTTTTTTTTTGATTTTCTAAAACATTTGTCTTGTAATGAAAAAAAAAAAAAAAAAAACCGAAAAATCAAGTTCCCAAACACTTAAATTAGATTGATATTTTGTCGATCTTATTCACCTGCACTGTCAATCATAAAAATACAAAATACATTAATCTCTTGTTCAGATATTCAATAACACTGGCTAGTTATTTAGAAAAAAGGCACAGCTTTTTCCTTGTCAATTGGAGTGGAGTTCTGGGATTAGTAATACTTAGGTTTAGAGATAAGATTTTAAGGTCAGTAAGTATGAACTAAGACTGCGTTTGATACACGAACTAGATTTTTTAGTACTGTTTGGGATTAATAATACCATTATTTTAAGGTCAAGATTAATAATACTTGGAATAAGATATAAGTGGGATTAATAATACCATTATTTTAAGGTCAAGATTAATAATACTTGGAATAAGATATAAGATTTTATATATACTAGTAGAAGATAGGACGAGAGGAGTACGGTTATTTTTAACAATTGAATGAGGTGATATCCCATCCCATGACCATGGTATAGCAAAAGATCATGGAGGGGTGCAAATGTTAATCCCTCCATTTGAGGGGATTAGAAATATTATGATATTATTAATCTCCAAGTGTTTTTGTCAATAAAATGCATTATTAGATGACAATAACAAATATTTGGGGCTTTTGTAAGGCCATGGTACCACCAATCCGAAAATATTTCTTCAAATCTTTTAATAAACGAAGCCTAAAAGATAACTTGAACAATTCCTTTATTAGTCGTGCAATTGGGGTTTAAGTGAGTTCAATTTTCTTTCTTTTTTCTCCCCTTCCATGGATAGGGCTTTTACAAAAAATAAAGTTTCCAATTTTATTATAAAAATTTATGTCTTCTAGTTTGAATTGAACAGTAATGTCTATTCAAGAAAAAGCACAAAGAGTGCATATTTAATAAAATATAGCAATGTCAGAATTCTTCTCTTCTGTTTATTCCGTTATTTTCTCTTCACATTATTACTTTCACATGACATAATTTACCATCTCTTTGGTTTCTCTCACCTCTTCTCTCTATTTGAAATGTGTGTTAAGATGGTGGTTGTAAAGTGGGACTTGTGGTGGTGGTGATGGCGGTTGGAGGGGAGGGCTGGTTGTAGTGGTTAGTTGAGGGGCTCGTGGAAGCATTGGTTGTGATGGTAGGCAGATGTGGCATGGCATGGCATTGCATGGTGGTTTTAGGTGTGAAAAGGTTGTGAGAATGTTGAGGTGTGATGGACTGAAGATAGAGGAGATTAAATTTATTTATTTTTGTAATCTTGTTTGATGATTAAGTATATTTTTGTCTTTTAAACCTCACTATGAAGAGCAATTTTGCAAATGCAATTAATTTGGTTGGTGATATTAGCAATTTTCATTTTTTAAATTGGCAGTGAATTGATATTTAAAAAAAAAAAAAAACCAAAAAGCACTGTAGTTAAAAAAAAATTAAACCACAAGATGAGGTTTCTGTCATTTCAAAAACATTAATTTTTTTTTATACATTTATTAAACCTTAGAAAAATGCATGCGTAATCTCATAAATTTTTATACTTCTATTTGGGATGTCTTATTTTTTGACTTATTATAAAAAGATATACTAAAAGAATAGAAAAATAATGTAATAGAATTAAACTAATAAATACCTTATTTGAGGTATCCCCAAACCAACTACAAATCAATGAAGTTAGAAAGTAGAGAGAACAGTGTTTTAAAACACAACTTCCATTTGAAACAATGTAAAACTTTATTTGCACTGAATGAATTTATAATTAATTTTTCTAATTTTTTATTGATATATTATTCTCAGATTTATTGTATGTTTTAATTTATTTATTATAATTAATTATCTAAATTATTATAAATTTTGTAATATTTATAAAGTCTCTCCACACAACCACAATATCAGGTCATTCAATGAATTTGGGCGACTAAACTTTGGGTAAAATGTTTCACAATACTCGAAAAGATTTTCTTTTCCTTGATTCTTACATAATATAATCCTTCTTCTACAATTTGTACACAAAAATAAAAAGTGATCATTGAACGAGAGTCCAAAGTGATCTAATTGCCAACCCTTCTAGAATCAATCTCAAGTCCATCATACAGCCCTTGACCGTTCGAATGTCATCGCAATAAATAACCATCCTTTTTCGCGTTGGTTGTCCGGTTGGGTCCGGTTCCTCTACGGTTCCACCGGTTTCGGATCTGGAAGATTCGAGCCCAAGCAAAAAATACCAGAAGAGCCCAGAAGGAGGACACATGTCCTCTTTTCACGTCTCGACCTTCCTCGTAACTCGTGTCTTTTGCGTTACTCTGTGTGGCCCCCCACCATTGTCGTATGTTCAGCTCTCACTGGTAACTGTTCTTCCAACCATATCATCTCATTCCACGTGTCCATCAATCATCATCATCATCCATCATATCTTATCCAGCCACGGAGCTTCTTCATCTTCCTGATGATGATTCTCGTTTCTTCTATCGAACGGCTCTGATTTCACATCTGGTCTTGTTTGTTTTTGTCGCACCTGATCCTCGCCGTTGTTTTGCCCCTCTTCGTCGTCGCTCCGTCTCAGTCGTTTCGCTCCGATCGACACGCCGAACAACCGCGGGCTGAACAACAATCGCTCTTCCAACTTGGCGCCGCCGTTGGATTCCCCCGGAATCTCTCTCTCCGGCATCAGATCCAGAGCTCTCCCACCTTGAACTCCGTAGTTCGTCATTAGAGATAGTATATTGTTGTACAAACCTCGAAAACCGTTGACCTCTTGATTTAGTTGCGCGTTCTCTTTTCTCAACCGTTCGTTCTCTTCTAGAATCTCCGGCGCGGTCGTGCAGTTTGTGATTGTACCTCGATGTACAACCGGTGCTGCTGTTGCTGTTGCGGTTGGGGATGAATTCGACGAGAGGACTTGCTCGTCGCCGGAATTCACCGGAGACGCCGCCAGAGTCGCCGGCGGCACAGCCACCGTCACCGTCTGGGCAACACTCGTCGCCGCGGCCGCGGCCGCCGGAGATATTTTCCGGCGTTGTATGTCTCGGAGAAGCACTTTCTCGCCTCTCTTAAAGCATTCGTTCGCAAATTCCCATCGATCGGGCACAACTTTTCTGAATCCCTAAAGATTGAAAAAAAATAAAAAAAATAAAAAAAGAACTTCTCAAAAGCCAGAAAGAGAAGAAGAAGTGTATAAATTTGAAAAGCTTGTTTTGTTCTTACGTAAGTGTTGAGCTGTCGAACGAAGCTGGAGAAGTTGTTGTGTTTGAAGTATTTGGGAAGCAAATCTCTAGCGAATTCAGCGGGGCGCCAGACGATGAAGGTAGTTCCATCTTCGTTCCAAGAGATGAGATCGTCGACCGAAGGATCGTCAACGAGCTGATAAGTTTTAGTAAGAAATGGAGTCGGTAGAGTTCTCTGTGATTCTCCGGATGCCGATTCACCTGTCTGTTCAACCGGCATCGGCGCCATAATCGCTCCTTTAATCTCCAAAACCACAAATAAAAAAAAAACAAAAATTAAAAATTCACTCTCAAATCAAAGCATTCATTCTCGAATTAGATTCAATAAAGCTGAAAAGGATATCACAGGCAGATGCACTGTTCGGATAATGAGAAAATGCAAAAAATATAGAAAAAGAGAAAAGAAAGAGAGAGAATAACTATGAGACGCAAATCATTACGATTCATTGTTTTCAATTCCTATAAGCAACCAAACATGAAATCAATCAAACTAATGTCATTTTTTTAATAACAAAACAAAACAAATCGAAAAGTATCCAATGTGCACCTGAAAAGCTAAAGTCTTTTGAAACGTTGCGTAGTAAATTTTCTCAACGAGTCAGCAGAGCAGCATGTCGAACGAAGTAGACAGCGTTGAAGTCGGATATCGCTCGCCAGAAATGGAGACCAGAGCTAGAGAGAGAGAGAGATGGGGCGGGGGTTGGATGGATTGGTGTTTCTAGAAGGTTCGGGCTTGGAGTAAATGATTGAAAAAGAGCATTCTGTTTTTAATTAATTTTTTAACATTGAAAAAAGAAAAAAAAGAAAAGAAAAAAGCATTCGTTGGTTCGAGAAGGAGGGGAGAGAGAGAGAGAGAGAGAGGTGCTGGGCCCACAAAAAGTGTTACAAGACGATGGAAGGCGCGAGAAGGTACCGCGAGTGGGTGATTTTTCAGTGCTTCAGAGGTGTGTTTGTTTTGAAAGAATAAGGTGTGTAATTAGACTATTAGGTCTCGTTTGGGAATAGGTTATTTTAGTAATTTTTTGAATTTTTATGAAAAGATGTGTAAAAAAGTAGAGAGGTGATGTGATTAGTTTTAGTTATTTTTTGACTTTTTAGCTAAAATAGCCACTCCCCAAACGAGGCCTTAGTTTCATTAGACTAATAGTTTATTGTTTGTTTAAAATTTTTTGCTTTGGATTAATAGTGTTACAAATATGGGACTATCCTATCCTATAGGGGTGGGATAGAAACCATGAAATTGGTATCCCATGGAATTAATTTGTAAAATGTCATTTTACTCTCATGCTATTACTTAGTAAACAATTAGAAAATGGTAAAATGGTCTTTTGAACATTTATAAATTATTTTTTTAGTGTTGTTAATTTAAAATTATGTATTAAATAAAAAAATTTAAATTATAAATTATAAATTTAATTTAATTAAAAATTAAAAATGAAAAATTATGATCTTATAAATTAAATTTTTTTAGTGTTGTTAAAAAATTAAATTTACATATTAAATAAAATTATTTTTTTATTGTTGTTAATTTAAAATTATATATTAAATAAAAAATATAAATTATAAATTAAATTTAATTGAAAATAATAAATTAAAAATTATGGCCTTATAAATTAAATTTTTTTAGTGTTGTTAAATTATAAATTATAGATTACAAATTTAAAATTATATATTAAATAAAAATTATAAATTATAAGGGTAAAATAGTCTTTTGAACATTTATCCTTATCCAGTCCGTCTAACCAAACATTGGATTCACTAAAAATAGTCCAATCTAGACATATAATCCCATAACTAAACAAACATAGGATACAAATACAGTTCAACCAAATAGTCCGGGGACAATGTATCTCTGGACTAATAGTCTGATGGATTACAATCCCCTCTTATCCAGTCCGTCCAAACAAACACACCCCTAGAATATAAACACGTGGTATTTCATAAGATTTTGATTGGTGAAGAGGTGCAAGGGCCCACGGTTTATGTTGGGGATGAGAGAACAACATGGGGCTAAGTAATTGGTGATTGGTTTGGAGTATGGACATGTGGTGCTTCGGGAGTATTGAATAATTTTCCCCGAGAGAGGCTGTTGGGAGTTTTTATATATGATGGGCTTCTCTCCAGTTTTTTATCAGATTAGAGGGTATTATTGGATTTATAAGATTTATCATAAGTTTTGTTTCGATAATCTGAATTTGTTTAATGTGTAGAACTCGTCGATTATTATATACCTGTAAAAACTCACATTGATCAGATATCGATAGTTATGTGATTAAATCAGATTTTTGTTAGCCGTTTATTTTTCACCGTCTATTTTCTTTTATACAAAATTGATTTGATCACATAGTTATTCATATTCGATAACTGTGATTTTTTGAAGCATATAGTACTCGACGAGTTCTACACATTAACGGTTCAGATTATCGAAACGGAACCCGTGATAGGCCTCCATGGGCCAAACAGTACTCTCATCCTTTTATATACAATCAAACTTTTTGAATTTTTTTACCCATTTTTAGATAAAAGTTACAAAAATGTTTAAGAGTGCTAAAAATAGAACTCTAATGAAAGTTTTACTTATGTGACTGTGGGCCTCACTTATAAATGATTTGACATGTGTCTTTTTTTTTTTTTTTTGCTGCATGCCATATCATTAGGGTTATTGTTAGAGTTCCAAATTTAAAGTTATGAATCCTTGCTCTAAAAGTTATTGGCACTTATATATTTGATAGCAATATACTGATATTTATTGATATTTAAAAAATTATTCTCTTCGATTGATTTAAGAAAATTGAGCTTATTTTTCTAAAAAATTAAGACTTTGTTCGGTAGGCCTCTCAAATTATAATTTCACCAACTGATTTGACTGCGATGTTTGGTTTTGCATTTTAAAAATCATTTCCACACCCGCGTTTAAAAACTTGTTTATTCGGTCATCCACCTAGACGTCTCCTGGTTGACAAAAATAGTGTTCGTTTTTTTTTTTAAATAAAAAATATTTTGGGATTTTTTTATAATTTCTTTTTAAAATTTTGAATAGAATTTTGGGTTGTGTGTTTAGTTATGAGTTGTAAATGTTTGAATCAAATATCATATGTCACATCACTCAATTCAAATTCAATTCAACACGCATAACCAAATAAATTTTTCACACTCAAATAATAATTCTAAAACTCACAAACTTAAAATACAACTCTATTTCAAATCATAATTCTAAAGTTCTACCAAACGCAACTTAAGTTTTTTGTTTTTTATTTTTAATAAAAAATTTTAATGTTCCAAGAATTTTTTTTTTATTTTTTTTATGTACTTAACGTACATATACTTAAGAAGTATAATACTTAGTGTGGGTGTTGATTTCTGACTACACTACCAAACGAGAAATTCAGCTGGAGAGCACGGGCAAAATAGATTATGCTCAAACAACCTGTCACAGAAAGATAAGAATCCGGCGGTGGTTCATCTACCTGGGGGCACTCCCATGCTTAAGTCAGTAATCAAATATTTCTCGAAGATACATAATTTACTTAACTCACAAGAAAGAACTTACTGTTCACAGTATATCACACATATCTGAGACCCACAGGGGTGCCCTGTTTTTATAGTTAGCACTAACCTAATCCCTGTAAAAGCCTCACTTCAGTGGACTCAGGTTCAATGGTCATCCTGAACTCTCAATTAGATAGAGATAAACTCCATAAGAGCTTTATCTTTATCCAGACTGAGATCCTCCCCTATTTGAGGACTCTTGTCCTTTATCCGCTTATCTCGGATTTCGATATCTCCGCAGATAACCTTGGCCTAGCCGAGATTACCTTGGCATCAAGACCAGACCACGTAGCACCTTGGTTGACACTTCGGTGTCACCTTTGCCATGTGCTGTCATTCAAAATATGTCCCCACAACTGTAGACACCCCATTTTGACCGGCCCTAAGACTTGGGCGCTTTATTTTGATTACTTAATGATAACAATTAGAATGTGTTTCTCACAAAATTCTCAGTAAGAAAGATGAAATTTAAGTTTTAATCCCAACCTTCACCCATTTTTTGGCCAAACTATTTTAGACCTTAAAACCTTCTTTTCAAAATATGTTTTTTTTTTAAATGTTTCTATAATGTCCCGAGGCTCCCATTTCGATTAAAATATTGCACTTTTCAGTAAGCCGAGTAAGGACAAAGTGGAAATAAATGGAAGGGAGGTGAACTTTTTTGAAAAATATTTAAAAATATCTTCTTTATAGGTTTGGAGTTGAAGGAAATAGGAGGGGATGAAATAAAACTGGTTTAGGAAAAGAATGAGTATCAAATCATTAAGAAGGAAATGAGCAGCTTTCACTAAATTAGGCATTTCTCTTTGTACACTTGGAATTTAAATGTGAGGCCACCACCATTGGAAAGTAGACTTCTGGGCTTCAATTTAGACCCAAGAATCACCTTAGACCAAGTCCAAATAAGGGAGATATGCCCATTTGAAGTTGGGCTTTAGAGCAGATTTTGTTGACTCAGCTCGAGATAGCCTTTACTAAATTAGGCATATCTCTTTGTACACTTGGAATTTAAATTTGAGGCCACCACCATTGGAAAGTAAACTTATGGGGATTCAATTTGGACCCAAGAACCGCCTGAAACCAAGTCCATATGGAGGAGATATGCCTATTTGAAGTTGGGCTTAAAAGCAGATTTTGTTGACTCGGCCCAAAACAACAATAGCCTATTTTTTCTTGGTTTTGGCTCGGTTGGGGCAACCCATTACCTATTTTCTGAGCCATTCAAGTGCCTCCACTCATCCTCCATTATACCTAATCACCCCCCATTGTCAAAAAGAGGTTTTGTTTGCATTCATAAAGGAGTATCCCATGCAACCACCATGAAAATTTGCCCTCCTATCACATTCTTGTCTTCCACCTTCTTTTTGACCTTTACTCTCCCTCATTGCCTATATAGAATGATCATATTGTAAGAGAGAAGGAGGACCACGAAATTGAAGAGAAAAGAGTGAGAAAATGGTGAAAAAAGAAAGAAAAATTGAGTTTTTGAACCAAAAATATTTCTATCTTCCATATATACCCCATACCTTCCATAGCTACTGAAATTCCTCATTTCCATACATCAAAACCACTTCAAAAATTCTGATATAGCCAAATATCAATTGCCTCGATCATAAGGAAGAGTGTTTAGTGATTGAAAGTGAGAAAAACTAGAGAGTTAGCCATTTTCCATACCACAAACTCCATAAACTCCATAATTTTTAATTGAGGATTTGAGAACACACTTCCTACACTTGAGGGTGATCAAGAGGAAGTTTGGAAATCAAGAAATTCAATCTTTCTTTGGAATGTGAATTTTTCGTCTTTCATTTTCTTATATTTTATATCTCATATTTATTTTCTTACTTCTTATTTCATAGTGTTTTGTTATAATCCAAGTGGTTTATTTATCTCATATTTATTTTCTTACTTTATATTTCATAGTGTGTTGTTATAATCCTAGTGGTTTGTTTAGCTCATAATTATTTATTTATTTATTTTTATTCGCATGCTTTAATTTCATATTAGTTTTGTTGCAATCTTGCATGTTCTGCCTCATATTTTTTTTTCTTGTATTAATTTCATATTAGTTTTGTTATAATCTTGCATGTTCTATCTTATATTTTTTTTATTGCTTTAGGTTTATGTTGTGAGTTTGCATTTTTTATTTTATTTTATATTTGTTTTCTTGTTTCTTTAATCTAACCGGTAGTGGTTAGTTGAGCCACCT